AATTCTCTGTGTCTCATTTCCTCACTTGTGAGCCAGGCACAGTAAATATCTCCCAGGGTCTTGTGAAGAGAGATAGTTTAAAGAAGCACTCAGCTATTACAATCATGGGTACCAGAGAAGAGCCCATGAGGAAATGAATAATTCGGTGTTTAGTGTTTGGCTAATGAGCAGTAAATACGGAAGAGACCACTCACTGAATCATATGCCTGCATAAAATATTGAACAATTGCCCATTCAGCTAGCACCACCCAGCCAGTCCCCTGATGGAGGGAGACGTACTGTGGAAAAATACTATGTGAGTATATAGTTAAAGACGGGAATCAAAATACATAAGTACAAGGAGACAGAGACAACCTTAATTCTGGGATTTCCTAACTTTTGAGGGCGTGACTTTGTCAACTGACCATTCTTTTAATGTAGTTTTTGTATGTAATCGGAGACACAAAAGATTAATTTGACCTCAGTACTTACCACCTACTTAACCCTGGTGAGACATTAACTGCAATAATAAACTAGAGGGTCACACCTTGTTACTTACACAGGCTGAGGTGTACACCCAGCTGGGCCCCTTGTCCCCAGACACTTGTCTCCCCAGTGCAAAGGTGCCAACTGAAGTGGAGGGTGCAGCTGGCTGGAGTTGGGGGCAAGGGTCTGTTGGGTGGGGTGCTGGCCAGACTGCAGGGACAAGAGGCTTCTGGCAGCTTGATTTCCACTAAAACCAGGCCCACCGAGTGCTCATTGGGTGGGCTGGTCCACACTGGGGCGGGGGATCGATCTAGGAAATGCAACTTCAGCTACGAGAATAGCGTAGCTGAAGTCGACGTTTCCTAGATCGAACTAAGTGTACTTACTGCGGGTCCACGCGGCGCAGGCAAGCTCCCCCGTAGACAGCGTTTCCGCCTCTCGGCGAGCAGGAGTTCCGCAGTCGACGGGGGAGCGCTTCTGGGATCGATGTATCGCGTCCAGATGAGACGCGATAAATCGATCCCAGAAGATCCATCTCTACCCGCCGAATCGGGCGGGTAGTGTGGACCTACCCGGTGCGGCAAGCAGAGGAAGCCCTATGGTTCCCTAAAACTAACCTCACCGCCTCATCCCTGTATGGAGTGATGCTCCCCAGCCACAAGCCTGGGGGAGGTAACTGCCTCACCCATGTGTCCAGAGCCTACAGAAACATACCGTTTAGATCAGCAGAAATCAGCCTTTTCCAGTTTTCGGATTTTCATCAAAATCAACAGGATTCTGCCATTGATACTTAGAACATTCTCTGAAGTTCCAGAGGGAACTGGAGGCAATCTTCAAAAGTGATCATGCTACAGCCAAGCTGAATGCAAGGGCTCCCTTTGCTTGGCCAATTAGCTCTTACGTAGGCAGAAGAAAAGGGAATCTTAAGAAGGGATCTGAAGGACAAGCTGGGGCAGGGGTTGTTTGCTTTGTGTGGGGGAGCTGTTTTGAAACAGACTAGTTAAGGGAGAGCGTTCCCTGCATAAGGAGTGGCGTGAGATAGGGCAAAGGTGCTTGTAGGAGAAGTGAACAAAAGGGGAAGGAGATTTGAGGCTGAGACTCCTGGGGGACAGGGGGAGCAAAATCAGTAAGTTACAAAAGCAGAGGAACAGGCAAGGACTAAGGGTGGGGTGGGGTGGGGGGGAGGGTTAAAGGTGAGCACAAGAAGCTTGAATCTCATGCAGAACAGTGGGGAGAGCCAGCAGAGGGATTCAAGCGGGTTTGAGATGGTTAAGAGTAATAGCCCAGGATGACTAAGGCACCTAGGCATCACACTACACTAATACAAGGAAATAATAATCTTAGCAGCAGAATTTTGAATTGAGGTTTGTGGTCTGGATGCAGAAATCAGTGAATTCAGGTCTCTGATCTGCATGACACAGGCCAGACTAGATGATCATAATGGGCACATCTTGCCTTATAATCATAGAATATCAGGGATGGAAGGGACCTCAGGAGGTCATCTAGTCCAACCCCCTGCTCAAAGCAGGACCAATCCCCAACTAAATCAAAATGAATGGCCAGGAGAACAATGTGGGTTTCAGGGATGCCATGGAGGAAGTTATAGGAGCCAAGCAGGAGATGGTGAGGGCCCAGAGGAGAGAGTGAGCAGGATGGACAGAGATAAAAGGCAAGCTGTTACAGAGGAAGCTGCAGCATGATTTAGGCACTACCTCGGTATGTGAGGTGTGGGAAAAGTTACAGATGACACCCAAGTTGCAGGCCTGACGGTGGTGTTCTGTACAGTGACAGAGAAAGGGAAAGAGGAGACTTTGGTTGCTAGGGCCCAAATCCTCAAAGGTATTTAGGGTCCTAATTTCCATTGCAATCAATGGAAGTTAAAGAGCTTGAATACAACCGAGGATCTGGGCCTAGGATAGCAGCAAGACATCCAGGAGGAAGATACACGGGACTGGAAGGGACCTCCTGGGTCCAATCCTCTGCTATTGCAGGCTACCAGGTCACATAATCCAGTGAAGCCTCTCAGTCAGGAAATCAAACCCTGTCTCCCGCATAACAGGCAGGGATACTCAGCACTATGCGAAAGGAAGGCACGACCAAGGAGGATACAGAGACAGATGGAGATGTAGGACTGGACAAGTAGGGTTGAGTCATCGGTGTAAATATGGTAATTGAAGCCAGGTGAGTGGAGGAGATGACCAAGAAAGGGTGTAGAGGGAGAAGACGAGAAGGCCAAGGACACCTCCTAGAAGTAGGTGGGAGAGAAGAAAATGGCAGAACTAGAGCCGACAGGGTATGTGTCAGCACAACTGAGCCTGTATTAGCTTCACAAATGATAAAACACCAGGGAACAGGCTGAGAAACCTTTCACTGAGAAATCACTGCTTTAAATTCCGTCCTGGGGGGGGGGGGGTGACTGGAAATGACCATCTGACAACTGCTCTATGTTGGGGACATATCCACATGACAGTTAGTCCCCTTAGTCGTTTCGCTGACCAGATGGGGCATGGAGACGCTTCAGAAAAAAGAACCCACACATTCCATGCTTAGAGCTGTTTACTTACATCAGCTACAGGACAGGCACTGTCCTTGGCCTTCAGACACGTGCTGGTCATACTACTCTGAAAGTGTTACCCTAAAGCACAGACCTTACAGTGCATCCACTGCACTTATTTCTTGGGATTAGCTCCAGCCACATGATAATATTAACAGCAGTTCTCTTAAGCAGCAGTTGCATGAGACCTTTGTGCATGCTGGGAGCGGTGTTCCCTGAGACCTTGGTCATTAATTCGCTTGGGACTAGCTGGGCAGTACTGTCATCATCAAAACTACAAAGACCCTTCAGGGCTAAAGCAGTTCCATTTGATATTCCACATCCCCTCCTTGTGACAAGCCAGTACCCATCAGTAACCAACCAGCCCAGCACACCAAGCTGCCAACAGAGCGGGGTAGCTCAGGTCCCCTAGTTCCAAGAGAAGGGGTAGGTTATGCAGGAGGCAGCTCCATCTGGATATCAGGCAGCAGGTTGCAGCTGGTGACGATGTCCATCTTGTCAGCCACGGCTTGCAAGTCATCCAGAACGAGGCGGATATTGTGCGAGGCGTTGATGATGCCGCTCTGCGAGTTGCTGAGCTGTGCAGTGATGGTGCCAAGTTCCTTGGTGGCCATCTGATACACCTGCTTGATGGTGCTGCTGACATCGTAGTACAAGCGGGCATTGCTCTCAATCAGCTTCTGCTGCAGCAAGGTGCTGTAGCGCCCCTGGTGCTGGATACGAAGGGCAGGTTTCTCTTCTATTCCCATAGGAGACCTTGGCTCCTCCTTCCTGATGACAATCAGGGGAGGCAGGTCCAGGTTGACTAGCTTAGACTTGACTTTGTGCCCACTTGGGCTCCCTTCGTCTTCGTCATCTGTCTCAGATGCTTCCCCGAGGACTTTCACACCAGAGAGGCTGGGAAAGGAGGCCTGGGGAACGGACGGCAGATAAACTTCTTCATCGGAATCAGTCTCAGATGCTTCCCCTTGAACCACGGCTTTGTTTTGGGGTGCTGCCATCCTTGGGCTTCAGCCATCTAAAGAAACAAAAGCAGGTCAGTCACAGCAAGAGAGGGGAAACTGAGACAATGGAGAAGAGCCTGAGACAGCTCGGAAGGTCGATGGGTCCCAGGAGCCCGGAAGAAGCTGGCAAGTGGTTGTGAAGTTCCAGGGGGGAGCAGTTAGGTGGGCCGTTAGCTGAAGTGCTACGTGCCAGCAACAACCAGCCCAACAGCCGCTGGATGGCAGGTACCCAGCCAGGAGAGAGGCGGTGAATGACCTCAAATGGAGGGCAACACAGTAACAGGATAGGGAGACCACCAGTCCATGGCATGACGGACATCAGCACAGGACAGAATATGGCCATGGGCAAAGTCCCGGAAGCCTGTCATTCATCTCTCAGGGAAACTCCCCACAGACATCCCTTCCACCTCTGCTCCAGAGCCTCCTCCCCAGCCCCTCTCCCAGAAAGCACCCTGCTCCCCCTACCCCAACCCTCCCAACCCAGCCCCCTACTCCTCCACCTCTACCCCAGAGCACCCCTGCTTCCCCAGAGTGCCCCCACACTTCCCTCCACACCCACCACATCCTCAGAGCATCCCCACTCATCCCACCTCTCCCGCAAGAGCATCTCCATTCCCCCCAGAGCGCCCCCAACTCCCCTCCCCCAGAGTCCCCCAATCATCCCACCCATCCCCCTAGAGCGCCCCCCCACTCCCTTCCCCCCAGAGCTCCCCACTCGCCCCCCAGAGCGCCCCCATTCCCCTCCCCCCGAGAGCCCCCCACTCATCCCCCCCATCCCCCCACAGTCCCCGTGCTCACCCAGAGTCCCCCCCTTCCTCAGGTCCCTCAAACAGCCCCCACAGTCCGAGCCACCAGCCCCGCCCCCACCCGCTTCTCTTCGCTACCCGCTGTCGCGGAGGCGGAACGGCATGGACGGAGTCCAGGTCACATGATCCCGTCGCAGGCAGGTCACATGATCAGTCACATGGTGTCCGATCCCGGAAGTCGCGACTCCGGCCATGGCTGACTCGCCGCTGTTCCAGGCGCTGCACATGGAGATGGCGCATGCGCTGTGTGCGGTGAGGGGAGGGGGAGTGAGAGGGAGCGCCGAGCCGGGGACAAGGCTCTGGGTCGGGCGGCGAGTCGCTGCCGAGGGGCGGGGCTCTGTGCTGGGGGCGGGGCTCTGTGCCAGAGGCTGGG